CCTTGGAGATACAGAAAGGAGCCTCCGTTTGTCCTAGGGAAGGGGAGGGTATGACTACATGAAGACAAAACTTTTCACCTTGTTATAACTGTCTCCTTCTCTGTGGTACATGATGGTGTACTTAACAAGAAGTGCTGGATTTTTAAACTTTCCGGAATCTTTCCAGCTCAGTTTCACTGTAACAGGGGGAGCCACTTCCCTGGCATCCAAGAATGCTGTAGGCGAAGGAGTGGCTGAATATATAACAGAACAATGGTAAAATATTATTGTAACTCATCGCATAATGTCTCACCAGAACTAAATATGTCTACAAGACAGTACAAAGTTGTATTTTGAGATTATTATCCGGCAAATTCTGAATGTCAAAGTTTCTCAATGCTAACTTAATGTGCTAAATGATATTTCTGATGTAAAAGTATCTGATTCAATAATGTAGTGCAATAATGCTGGATGTTAGACTATTTCAGTCAAAATAAAAAAAAAATTGCTATTAATAGCATTCCAAAGGATACCAAAATTTATAAATACAGGGCTATCAACAACTGTCCGATCACATAATAAGATTCAGCATCTGGGTGAGGGAAGTCCTGAGATGGACTGCTGCTGGCACTGGCAGTAGTGACTGACACTGATGGACAACCTGAGTGGAAGTCATCATTGAAGACCTCAAATGACTTCATTATAACACTTGCTTGCCATTGACTCTTCACTCTACCCTGAAGATGACTCAGGTTGTCAAAACGTCATTCACTAATACTAACAACAGTACTTTTTAGGGAGTGCCCTTACCCAGACAATCCAACTACACAATCACACACATTCAATTGCAAAATAATTACTGCTTAATTGATAATGGGTTAATAGAGTCTGCACTTGAGCCAAGTAGCACAAAAGATCCTAAAACTTATTCCACTCTTCATACAGTGTAGCTTGCAGTGATCAGAAGCAAATTACTTTTCTCCAGAATCAGGATGCAAGTCTTTTCCCATTAACTTTTGCAGTTCCCCCAGTTCTTTGTCAGCTGGGTTTCCCAGACAATTTACCTGTACCCATGTTTAGTCCTGGGTAAGGAGAGGCAATGTGAGATACTGTAAAATATCTTCTATGTCAGAACCTCTGTCAGAACTTGTATGTCAGGCCACCCATCTCTCATGATTAATAATTAACATATACCCTGAGCATTCACAAAACAAATTATAATCATCATGATGATAGGCAACACATGTAAAATCACAGAATATTATCTTGGTAGCAGCAACTGCTGCTAGTACTCACTTAAAAGTGGATCATACATGACGTTCGGGGTGAATTCCACAGGATTGCTTACACCAGTTCCTAAGTCATTTATAGCCTCAACATAGGCAGAGTGTGGGTGGTAGGAAAGGACCTCAAAAACATCACAAAAAAAACTATCAGATCCTGCTCCTGGTTCTTGTTGGAAATGACTATCAGAACAGATTGTAAAGAAATCTTTTTTACACTCCAACAGCTGATCAGCACTTAAACTTGATGTATTAAATGCACATCTTGCTTTGACAGCATACTTTAGTTTTAATCCACCACTGTACAATGGGGCCTTCCAATGAATACGAGTTTTATACTCCACATTGTTCACCCATACATCTCTAGGTGGACTTGGAATATCTACAAGGGCATTAAGTGTATAAAACATATTAATTGTATATCGTATTTACCTGTGTATAATGCACACTTCTTTTCTGTAAAAATAATCATCAAAATTGCAGTGCGTATTATACACGGATTCTATTGTTTGTCAAGCCCGTCCTAATTTGCATATGTTAAAAACACAACAAAGAAAGTAAAATTGCATGGATTGGTGGCCTGGAGAGGAGAAAGAGCTTGCTTGTTTACAACTCATTTGAAGCTGACTTGATAGATACTGTGAAAGCGTCCTTCAAACGCAAGAACATTGATCTTGCTGTGATTCCTGGCGGGTTAACTTTCTTTCTCCAGCTGCTTGATGTATCTTTGAACAAACTGTTTAAAGATGGAGTCCGAAAGCACTGGATGGCTGATGGAATTCACGAATTTACCGACTCTGGATGACAAAAGAGGGCTTCAGAGGAACTGATCTGTTAGTGGATTTTGCAAGCATGGAAAGCCATTCTGTCAGAAATGATCACTGCCTCTTTACTGAAGTGTGGGATCACAAATAATTTGGATGGATCACAAGATGAATTGGTTTACAATTCAACTAAGAACAAATCGAAAACCTATTTGAATCGGACTGTGAGTCAGAATTTGAGGGTTTCGTTGTTTAAAGACACTGAACATTTTACTTAAATCGAAAGCAATTGCAATGCAGTGATGATATTCAAGCTACCAGCAGTGCTGTGAGAAGTTGTGAATTTAGGTATATTAATGAGGACTTCAAGTTACAACATTTGTAAAACGTCTGACTGTTATTGAATGGCAAAGCTTGTATTAAGTAGGTGCTCGGTGTGTACGATGTTTGTAGTAGCAACTAGTTAGAAATTGTTGTTACTATATTATTTATGAATTCCCAGCTCTTGTTAATTAAATGGTAAAATGGAAGTTTTAATTCTTGGTGTTTTTCTTGAAATCCTTTTTTTTAGAAAAAAGAGGTCAAAAATGAGGGTGCGTATTATACACAGGTGCGCATTATACACGGGTAAATACAGTAAATAGAACTTTGCAAATAACATCATGCCGTTTGAATATACAGATCCACTTAACAAATTTATTCAGTTTTATTCTCCTTCCTCACTGTGTGTCTGGTTGGATGATTGAAATCATGGTAACAAGCTCTAGTGCAACTGGTTGCAGTAGAGCTGTATCCACCTATCCCGTGACCAATTGTTGACCAACTATCCACTATTTATTGACTATCATATCAATTAAACATCAAGCAAGTACTTACCAAAGCTATCTATAGAAATTTTTGTTACCAAACACCTTCCCTGTACAATATTGAATAATTGAGCCCAGCACATGACAGAATGATGTAAGAAAAATGTAGTTTTTACTTACCACCAATTGTTACTGCAACAGACTTGGGTTGAACTATGTTATTCTTCCCTTTTTCTTTACACACATAACTTCCATTGTTAATCCAGTCCACCTGCTCTATTATCAACTGAATGGTTTCATTACTCAGTTTTGTTGTGTGATTGGACAAACTCTGATTCCCACGATACCAGGATAACTGAGAGGAATTAGCTGCTCCAATTATACTGCAGTTCAACTGAAGTAGTTTCCCCACTCTGATTGTCACATCGTTTGAAGTTTCTAAATATAACCCTGGAAATAATAATCAATACATGACTCTAAAATTAAATCACTCTACTAAATTTGACACACTTAACACTAACTTTCTCTGCATTCCTATTTGTTAATCCTTTGTAACCTAACATCAGTTAGCAAGTTCTCCACATTGTTCTCTGAGAGTTTCCTATAGAACTTACAAAGAGAATTTGTATAACAATCAAGAGGTTCTTGATTTGGCAATCATTTCCTTCATTCCCATGACCTTAATGTTTGATTCAGAGGGGGTGTGGACAAAACGTGGGGTAGGCCATGGCCTAAGCTATGGTGTAAGTCATGGCCTACCCTATGGCCTACCAGTGGTCAGATTTTTAAAAACATAAAAAATAAAATCAGTAAGAGTCGAATAATTAGTTAATTAACTAACTTTAGGACATTTATTTTGAGATATAAAAAGAAAAGAAAAATTATTAAACAGATTGTTAAATTTGTCAATTACTCTGTGTGCTATATCTTTTTGTCATAATGTCATGCAATATAGTATCCCAAATGAACTTCCTGTTGCACAGAGAACAGCTTAATACACCACTTGTATTGTTATACTACCACACTTCAGTAAGAAAAGCAAGTAAAGTTTGTGAAACGTTTATGACGGCGATGCATGTGTGTCCCGGGGTGCTTGTTGCAAATTCAATACTCTACAGCACTAAAGAGGCACTTTAAAAAAATGGCCTGGCACGTACTGTTTGCATTTTCTTACCTGGATATGTTGTTCGATATAACGCCGTTCATTACACTTTTACACTAGCACTCCACTATATGTTACTAGCTAGCAGCCTAAATGGATCGTGAAGCCGCCATTGTGGATATCCTTAGCGACCACGCAATATTGGCCCCTCCTCTCCCCTCCCCCTTAACCTACTGTTATGGTTGAGTGCATGGGTGGGGAAGACAGAGTTAGGATGTTTCAAGGCTGAGTGCTGTAATATTTGCATTGTTTCGTTCCCTCAGACGTTCAAAATCGTGTTAGTGACTTTTTAGTATACCTTATTTAGAGACATAGAATTGTACGCCAGCGTACTCGTTCAACTCTTACTGATTTTATTTTTATGTTTTTAGAAATCTGACCACCGGTAGGCCATAGGGTAGGCCACAGGGTAGGCCATGGCCAACCCCACGTTCTGTCCACACCCATTCAGAGGTGATACTGTTGGAAAAATCAAACGCTTATCACTCTCATGGGTTAGATAGCTAAGGATAGTTGTGTAATGTTTGTCAATAAATTACAAATAAATTGTTGTTTTTGTTGTTCTTGTATTTTCTGTAGCAATTAGGTGAAATTAAAACAAGGATGTTAATTATTGCTGTTGATTGCTCCTCAAAAAATTGAAAGTGGTTGAGTGTTAACATGACTCGTTCCCTTTTTTTGAATCTGGATTTCCTTTTTCTATTCAGTCTGCCTCCAGAAATGGATACTCTTAGATCCCCAATGTAGCAAAATTTTCCATGGGGACAAGTGCTCAAGATAATTGCATTTACTGGTTTGTAAAAGAGTTTGAAACTATTGCATTTTCTAAAAGCTAGTTAGAACCCCTCACAAACACTACTGACAACACAACCACTAACAAATGAAAAATTGAGGCTGTTAAATGAATTGAACATCCCCCATCCAAATATCATAAAGTTTAATATTCACAGACAGTGAATTTCCCACAACTTGTCCTATAATTTCCTTAACTTTCAACTCTCAGGGGTGATTAATATAATATTTATTCAACTTTCACTTTCACTGTACAAGTTCTGATTTTCTGATTGGCTGATTTGTACAATGTGATACTGGGTTGTGACAAAAACAACCTCCATGACATCATTATCATGGTGTAATAGCTGTGGTGTAAATTCAACACACCACTGTCATCACACCACAGCTTCCACTGACTCAAAGTTTGTCAATTTGTCAGATGCAGACATTGATTCTCTTATTGATGATGCAATCCCTATAAATACCAAGAAAGCAACTGCTTGGGGAATATCTGTTTTGAAAAGTTAGGTTACAAATTCTAAATTTTCATTCAAGCTGGTTGAGGTGTTTTTGTGTGTTGTGTTTCTTTGTGCCCTGTTATTTAATTTGAATAAAAAAACTATTAATGCAGTCATTGCTCATGGATTATCAGGATTTACCTGTACTCATTCACAAACAATGAACTCAAAATTTTACATACCACACTCAGAAAAGCCTTGTGTAGTTTTGAAATTTCTCATTTATGGTTTGACTGAACTTGGGCAAGTACATACTGATAATTCACTCGCTGAGTGTGTTAACCTGTAAATGTTCTCTAATAACATCTATACAATATCCAGCAAATAGGTAATGAGATTTACTCAAACTTATCGGGTAGAAGTTTTTTTCTTGATCTAACAAAAAACTCTCGTTTACAGAGAAATGTGCAGCAGCAAGAGGGGAGAATTAACCATCAGATCTTATGAGTTACAGGGTTAACATCAATGACTTAGAAATAAACACCAGACACCAAGCAGGTGCATCCCATTCAAAAGGGTTCCAATTCTGATGTGATACATTTTACAGCGTGACTTAAAAGTTCCTGACAGTAGTTTGACAGTGAAGCTCGGCCAAGTTTTTCCAACAACAGCAGAACACTCTTGAAATTAGAAATAAAACTATCAAGTCCAAAGGTAAATCTCTGAGCTTCATAGATATCACGCAGCATGTTTTAACCCGTTCGGTAAATTTCAAAATTAGTTGTTCATTTAACAGGTACCTGTACGTTTACAAATTCTTTACAAATCGTTGTGTCCCGAAAATGTTGTGCTTTAACAACACCATAACTGTGAGCCGCTGTATTTCATGTTGGAAAACGATACATCATTCTCCTTCAGCGAGTCAAACAAAAGGCGGAAGCGCTCGACACAAACAATTATGAAGAGAATACCAATATGACTGTCTTTCGAAAAAGCAACCAACCTTTTCATGTGCAAAACAGTTCAGAACACCGCCGATTCCGAAGATCTTTCGCTATTGTTAACTTCTTTTCTTACGACAGAATCATGTCACAACCTTGAATATTCTATAATTTCAACAAAACGTAAATGCATGGTACAATTCTTTGAGACTTATTGCACTTACCTGCCGACTTGTTGCTTGAATGGTGAACGCTCGCCTTCTGTTGGCCTAACACGCAAATGGAGTGTTGACAGTGAAGACAGATCGAGGACACATGCCAAACTCGTAGAACGAGCCAAAATGCCCGCTTTTCATAAGCCATACTCCATGTCTAAACAAAAACTTCTAGGCGTTTCTATCAAAATTTGACTTCTGGGATGAACGATCATTTTATTTAATTTGCATATACGAACTCATGCGAGTCATCGCTAAAATAGCTTCCCTTGCCGAGAAATTGCTTCTTCGAAAATGGGAAATCAAATGCAATCAAATCTCTTCCACTTTTCTCTTTAGAAATTTGTTAGGATAATTGTTTATTCCTTGCAAAGACTTTCACTTTTCTGAATATTTCGATTTTATGTAAATAATATCCACGTCAGATATGTTTATTTTGCAAGACGCCATTTTGAATATTGCGTGCGATTACTAGTTTCCCCGGTGACTTACTGAAAACACAGCGTTCAAACACCGTGCATGCAGGACAATTTGAAAGCATACGAGAGATTTCCGTACGCGTGTTTAGCGTAAAGTAAGAAAAAGAAGATTAAATTTGCAACTATTGCAATGCGTTAAACAAAAGGGTAAAATTTCCCTACGGCCCTCAGTTCTTGACTAGAGAAAACAACGAAAAAAACAATACATTTCCATTGGGAAAACATATTTGTTTTACATTAGTTTGGGGCTGTGCGGAAACTTTACCGACAAATGAAAAAAGGATTTAAGAGTAAGATTAAATCTCGCCTTTATTTAATTATGAAATATGCCAACTGTTTTTAACGCGGACGCTCCGTTTCGGTGATCGATATGGAATGTGACCGAAAATTTCCTCTACCCTTGCTGCACAGTCCATTGTCCATCATAAACATAGACCTGTGATCGTCAAAAAGATCTTGTGTGGCTCTGGTTCTTCCTTTTTTAACACATTTCCCTCGGTGATTACCGGCAACTCCACCACGAACGCAACAAAGAATACGTTGCAGTCTGCACGGCCAAGTCCTTGGACGACTTAATCACGCCGCCGTGCAAAGTGCAGAAAAAGAGTACAAGAGTGTAAACTAACACATAGCGGGTTAAGTCCAAAAAAACTACGTATGTCTCTGTCTTAGAAACTTCGAACTCTCATTAGAGACAGCGAATGCTACCTCTCCCTCTGAACCTCCATGTTATTCGTCATAGTGCGCATATGCAATAATCTGACCGCTGTGTTGGTGAGACTGCAAAAACTACCTTCGTCATAAAGGCGGGAAAGTGACGTCATAACTGATACGTGCGTCCAGCTAAAAGGTAAATTTCGTTGACTTTCACTCGCGATTTATTTCATCGAGAATTACGACTAAAGGTAAAATTTATCGTCGGAAAAAACGTTACTTCACGTCTCGCCGTTATTTATATTAAGGCAGAAGATAATGGTCAGCGATTTCGAGTAAATTTGGCAAAAAAAGGATCGTATCCTTAACTATGTGTAGGCTTGATATTCAACAGTAGCGCAACTTAAAGTGGTTAGTTTTAACCCTTTAACTCCCATAAGTGACCGAGATAGAATTTCTCCTTACAATATCAATACAAAATCAAGAGGACTGGTGATGAGAACCAAGAAAAGTACCAATTAGGGGATTATTTGTTGATACAATACTAAATTCTCAGAGGTAACATCAGAAGAATTGTTTGGCAGACAGTAAGGAGAATTACTAATGGGATCTTGGGAATTTAAGGGTTAATCAGCTGATTCCAAGTAGCTGTAAATTCAGTACTCTTGCTCAGTTCATGAACTAGCGTGGTACAGAAGATGGTTTGAACTCAAAAGTACTCTTCACATTTCTTGAGATGCAGGTAAGGAGAATTTATTGAACGATCAAGGGTTTCTCTAATTGGTTATCATTTCCGTTATTCTCGTGACCTTTTAATTTGATTTAGCTGTGATATTGTTCGGAGAAATTAGATGCTTGTCACTCTGAAGGTTTAGGGGTTAATTGTGTAGTCTCACTGGAGCCTCTAATCTTTACTTCTTACCTGTAATCTTTTTTGTCATCTTTACCCATTTAGTGGAGTTGAAATGTGAAAATGGATGATGTAAAACAGTCGTGTGAATACGAAGAAGAGAACGAGACGGAGGATTTAGATACAGCTATCTCCCTCGGAGCTGATTTTAACAATTATGACTGTTTTCTCCAGCCTTTCAATTCCCCTGAAGACGATCAAAGGGATGAATTTGAAATCAAGAGAGAAGATGAACTGACCGGAGATGGCCCTTGTTACCAGGTAAAGTGTTAATTTTTAAAATCCTTCTTAATTGCAGTGGCTACTCGCAAACTGTTGTTAGTAGCTTTTATGAGATTTTAATCATAACTCTTAAAGCAACACATGGACTCTCTATTTCCTATGGCCACCTACGCTGTCTAGATTTCGCTGATGCGAAATGGTCTCACAACCGTACAAGGAAATAGTGGCGCGAAATTACTATCATAATTTTGACTCTAAGAAAGTTTGATTTTCACAGCACTAATGTTTGAATGATTTTTGCAGAGATTTCCCGACGAGGAGAGCAAAAAAACTGGTAATGGTGACGGAGTAACTTCCATGCCCAAGTTGGAAATGGATTTCAAAAGATCAAACTACCATCGCAATCTCGGGAAGTTACAGAGATTGGTCGAAGACAAGTTTCAAGAACTTCAGGAAATCACTTCAGCGAAGGAAGAACTAGAATGCGGCGTCCAAACTGCTCTGCAAAAACTTTGGGTTAAGGAAGCTGAGTTGCACAACCAAAAACTGACATCATTGGAGCGGGAGAGATGCTTGGTTGATGATTTGAGGCAGGAATCGGCACATTCTGAGGAACTTGAAATTCTTGTTCAGTCTTTAAAAAACCAAAAAGAGGAGTTACAAGAACAGCTTGTAAATCTAAAGCAGCAGCTGTGCACGGTGAAAGGAGAAACGGGGAAAAGGGAGCGAGAGCTGGACCACAAATCACTAGAACTTAAGAATACTCAGGAATCTTGGAAAAAAATGAGTGCAAGTCACATAAGCCAAATCACGGATATCCTGTCAATTTGCAATGAACCCGAGCAAAGGGCTACTGCTTTAAATGTGTCACCTTCCTCTACAGTGGGAGAAAGCTCAGGTCTAAGTAGCTCTGAACAAAGCAACGACAGTGGAGAAAGCTTGGAAGATGATGTTAGCGCAGAGATGACGATGATTGATTTACAGCGACAAAACCACGATCTAAGAATGGCTTTGAAGAGCTTGGCAGAACACATTGCAGATATGTGGCGAAAAGTAAATCCTGTTTGTGACTCTGAGAATAAGTTCGATGAGGATGAAGAGTCCATAGTACTACTGAACAATATTGCACAGTCTTTCTATCAACAAAAAGCAAAAACAGTTGATTTAGAAGAACAGAATGCTAGACTTCTTACCCATTTACAAGGCGTAGAGGAAGCTCATTGCTTAACCCTGGGTAAAATACAACGTCTTTGGGTCAAATTCTGTATCCAGGAGGAAAACGAAGAAAATCAAACGACGTGGACCCAAGGAATTCCCTCAAGTGCCGAGGCAACGGACATTAGATTGAACAAAATCGAGGACGTACTCTCCAGTAATAAGTGTACCATACGAGCAAATGAGGAGCTTTCTCGTGTTACTGCCTCTCTGGAGAAGAAAATAGTAGATCTGAGGGCGCTTGTCGAAAAAATTAGCGAGGACAATGGAGAAATTTCAAAAGAGCTCGAAAAGAAAAACGCAAAGATCGAAGAAACAAAGTTCTCGTTTAGTAAGGCTATCGAAGACAAGGATATAGAACTGGAAATACTGAGAGAGCAACTTCAAGAAAATGAGAGGAAAAAAGAGCAGCTGAAGGCTGAGAGTGAAAGTTGTGAAAGCAGTAATAAATGCACAGACGAGGTTTTGGAAAAACTTTTGAGAAGTAAGGAACGAGCCTTTGAGGATTATCAAAGGAAATGTGAAAGGGAACAAGCGGCACTAAGGGATGAAGTGAAAGACCTTCAAGAAAGCTTGCAGAGAGCAAGACAAGACAAGAGCGACCTCCAAGAATACTGTGATCTACTAAAGGAAGACACTGAAAAGTCAGAAATCCTAATCAATTCTCTCGAAGAAGGCGAGAAATCATTGAAAGAGTTACTTGAGCAAGGGAAGAAAAATGAAGAGAAGTTGCATCTCACTGCACGAGAACTTTACGATGAAGTCAAAACAAGCAAGCAAGAAGTTCAGTCGCATGAGTCAGCCATAGGAGTTTTGCAAGAGAAGATCAAAAGCTTAGAGTTAAAACTAGAAACAGCTATGAAAGAACGGCAAATTGACAAGAAAAACCTAAAAAATGCCAAAGAGACCGAGCAGTATTTGCAGTCGTCATTGCAGCAAGCCGTAAAAGAAGTTATTCAGATGAAAACCACATGTAACGACGAGGAAAATTCAGAAGAGGCGAGGCAGAGAACAGTTGTTCGCACAGCTGATGAGCATCGGGCATTACTGGACGATAGATTCAAAGAACTGGAGAGACTTGTTGAATATACACTTGAGAGAAATGCTAGAGACTTACAAGAGTATGCCGAGAGGATCGAAGGACTTTGTGAAGAAAACAGCAATCTCAAAGGAGAAGTGGACTCCTACAAAGAAAGATTAAGTACCTTAATGAAAGACAACTGTAGGTTGAAAACATTGTCGCGTGCCCTTAAAGATGATCTCATAGAAGAGATAAGAGATAAAAAGGAGCTAGAAATTTCAATGATTACATCACAAGAGAAATCTGAGTTCATACTAAAGGAAGACAGAGGCTTTGATGAACAATCCACCATATCTCAATTGCCAATAATCGATGAAGATAGCGCGAGTTGCCTGATATCTAGATCTGCCTCTCCAAGTTCTTCTGATTTTCAAAGTGTGGTAAAGAGGTGGAAAGGCAAAGGGCTAGGCAAAAGAAGGATAGTACCTAAAGCTATAAGCAAACATTTCAGCTCGTACTCTTTAAAAGGAAAAAAAAATGAAGACAAAGAAGACGACGGAGAAAGGGCAGGTAAAGAATACCATACACCTGGTGAAACCTCTGCAATGGCTGAAAGTGAAACAAAATTGCGAAGTCTTTTAATGGCAGTCCAGCGTGACAAGGACGAACTCCAGCAAGAGGTAGCGTCTCTAAGTGACGATCTGCGAAGGAAAAAATCCAAATTGAAGACTTACAGAAGCATCACAGAAAAACTGCGCGAAGAAACAACGAGAAATGTACGTGAGAGCGTGGAAATGAAGAAAGCCTTGGAGGCAATTCATAACAAGACAAGAAGTGCTTACATAATGATAAATAAGGACATTCAGTCCTTACTAGAGATTTCCAAAACAAAGGATAAGGAGGTGCGAAAGTTTGAGTGGTCGTCCGAAAAAGCAGAGAA